CACCACGGCTCCGCGGGCTCCTTTGGCCACGGTCCCGCCGGACCCTCGGGCGTGGGCGGTGCTGAGGGCGGGCGGAGGCGGGGGCGGCCCAACCCTTGAGGCGGAGACTTGAACGCGCCCTGAGCCTGACCCTGCTCCTGGCTTGTCACCTGTCCCTGTTCCCACGGCTATGACTGCCCTTGCTCTGCCCCCGTCTCTGCCCTTGCTTCTGTGTCTGTTCCCTGCTGCCCTGTCCCAGGAACTCGGACAGGATAAGGTCCTGCAAAAGTACGGCCATGGAAGGGGCTGTAGTGTGGAATCATTCCTGTCTAAAATCACTTTATAGTAAAGTACTGGGTTTATTAGCAGCATATAACCCCAAAGGAAGTGCAGTTTTAAGTTGCTCAAATCCACATTTTTAGAATACTTTGGTGCTCTTCTAGGGAAAGGGAGACTTACTCATGGTCCCAACTCAAAGGCATCAGGAACTTCACAAGGAGCAGAGTTATTTGGAGCCAGTGTCATAACCTAGGCAAGGAGGATGGCTTTGCTCTTTCACTAGTATCTTATTTATAGAATAATCTGCCTAAAGCAAATCTCCCCATCTCCAGGCAGTTTGTTACCCTTCAGATACAGAAACACATTTTTTCCTTTTCATCTCTACTCCAAGCAATTCAGGGGGTGCTGGTGAGAGCACACCTCTCCGTTTCCCAGTTCCCCCAGCTCTGGAAATGCCAGTCTGTCCAGTTATGATAATTTGCCCAGCTGATAGGGGAGAACACAGTGTTTCTTGATTACTTGTATTTTTCCAGGCCGTTTTCTGATCTCTTTCCAAAGACCTTTTCCCTAGTTCACTTAACAACAGCTGCTGGAAAGCTCCTCCCTGCGGGAGGAGAGAAGATCTCATTGGTTTTTCAATAGTAACTTCACAGCACTGAAAGCAGGGCTGGTGCTGCTGTTGTGTGAGGAAGGGTCTGCAGGTGAGAGCTGTAGGTGTGACCCCCAGGGCATTGCTGGATCATGTTTGCCTGTAGCCCTGGTGGAGATCCAGTGCCACCTGCAAGTCATGGAAATCAGGTCACTTTTTGCCTTGGGACAGGTGCCAAATGCTGAGCATTAAAGGAATCAACAGGACTGTGGGGCAGGAGCAACAGGCCAGCATGAAGGAAATAGAAGTGTTAGAAGATCTGGGAATACACCTTGCAAGGAGAGACACAGAGGCCCTCTTCCAAGAGCAGCCTGGGACTGGGAACCCATACTTGGAAGACACTTTGCTTCGGAGTTACTTGAAAATACACCTTCCTCCCAAGGTCTGTTTGTGTTTCTGTGTGTACCCACCATGGCTCTGCCGAGTCGCTGCTTCAGACTCTGAATTGAATGTTTGTCTGAGCCTTTTTGTGCCTTTGAGTGTTTAACTGGAGGGAATTTATCAGCATTCCTTAAAATTTGTTGTGTTTGAGGGCAGGGGTGACAAACACTTCCAGGACACATACAGCAACTGGCTCAGTGGGCTCCTGGGACTGGGCTGGGTGTTGCAATGCTGTTTGGGGATTGTCAGTGTGGGCATTTGTTGTCTGATCATGTAGAGAAAGGAATTTCTGAGAGAAGAATCAAACTAAGATGCTTCCAAACTTTGCTTTGTTCTTCCACCTCACTTACTAGGGAAAGAGGTGTTTTAATGAAAATTCCTGAGGACTGGGGCTGCTCTCAGCTGAGTACTCAAGAGGGTGGAAAGGCCCCTTGGGGCTTGCTTGTTCTCTGCACAGGTCGGTAGCACTTCTGGGTTCATTTTTCAGCCAGGAAAGGCTCTGTATGGATTTCAGGGGTGCATATGGGGATGTGGGGTGAGGCCCCAAGCTCTTGATGTCTGTGCTGTGAGCTCCAGTTTTACAGGAACCCCTGGGAGGAGGTGGCTCACCTCTGGCTGGCCTCTGCCATCACCCCAAGAGCCACAAGTTCTTCCCACTTTTCAGGGAGCAGTTTTCGTGGAGTACAGTGTGACCTCTTTCCATGATCTATTCCAGCAGAAGCAATGCCATGACTTCTAAAGGCACCAGGTGAGCAGAGGGAAGGGGACCTGGCTTTCAGTGAGGTCCCCTTCCCCTGTTTGCTCTCCAGGTCTGTGAGGCCTGGCAGACACAGGGTGGGAAGAGTGTGGTGGCAGTGCTGGGAGCTTGTCACAGCCATCCCTAAAGAGAGGAATGAGGCCTCCCTAAGCACCACCGTGGCCTTCTTGCCAGAAGAGAAGGCAGGAAAGGAGGATGCCTTTGGGTAACTGTTAAGATCCTGTTCCTAATCTGCACTTTTGGAAGAAGCATGATTCAGGTCTCCCAGAGAATAAAAGGATTAGTACAACAAGGCTGTTCCCACTCCTTCCCCAAACGGAGAAGAGTGGCTCCAAAATCCCCCAGAGAACAGGGAGCAGCATCTCCCTTTCATTTCTGCACTCAGTCCCAGTGGGGCAGTGTTGCCTCACTGCTGCTGGAAAGGAGAGCCCAGGCTCTGCCTGCAGCGCTGAGAACCTGTTCTCCATGGGAGAACCTGCTCTCCATGGGAGAACCCTTCCTCTCCAGGGCAGCAGCAACCCCTGAAGCTTTGTGTGTCCTGCCGAAGCTGGAGGCTGATTCCTGTTGTGCTCTTCCATGTCAAACACAGAAATTTTCTTGAAATGGCACAAAAATTTTCTTTCTCTGTTTGAAGGTGATTTAAGGAGAAGACAGAATTAAGCACCTGCTTTTTCTGGGTGTTGTGAAGAGGAATCTACGAGGATTTGCTGCCCTGAAAATACATCCTTTAATATAAAGGATATCTATTTGAACTCCTAATGTGCATTAATTTGCACATTTCCCATATCTTAATGCTTGGGACATCAAAGGACAGATTAGGGTGAATGGAACCACCCAGCAGCCTCAGCCCTGACCCAAATAATTTTGTCTTCTCCACATCCCAGCATCTGTTCATTGGACCAAGGCTGCTAGGTGTGACATTCAGCAGTCACAAGTGCAGGAGTTTTGATTTTATTCTTTCACCCAGGAAATAAATACATTTTTTTTTGGGTGATTCAGTGGTTTGTCAGGCTGTGTGTGGTCAGGGCATGAGCTCCCAGTGAGGCTGTTGGGGGATTTTAGGAAATATGGATGATGGTGAAAGGATTGTTGAATGAGTTCCTTGTATGAACTCAGACCAAGAGATCGTGGTAGACTCATGTACTGCCCACAGAAACCCACTAGGTCAACAGTTCAAAGATTCTTGTGCTTCAGCAAAGTCCATGAACTTAGAATTCCTGGGTTATGCCTTGAAAACAGTCTTCAAATTGTTGTGATAAAGATTGGAGGTGCACACCCATGGCAAATATGGGTGTGGCACGAGCTGGAGCAGCTGACAGACTCTCGTCCATGGTTTTGGCTTGTTTTGTGATTTTTAACACTTTCACTGTTCAGCTGAAGGAAACCTGTCTGGTCTGAGGATGGAGACTTTCAGAGTGGCACCTGGAGTGTTTGATCCTCATCACACACGTGGAGTGGCAGAGGGAGGAAAGAATCAATCACACAGGATGTAGATTAATGGAAGGTCAATACAGGGACAGGCAGGGAAAGGAAAATGCCATCTTTGTATTTCATCAGCAGGAAATTAATGGGGTTTATAACTGCACAATTATGGGTGCAGCAATTATGGCATTCACCTCCTTCATTATTTTATCGAGGAGGGAACAAGCATCTCGTGAGAGGCAGAGAACAGCAAAAAATATTCCTCTCATGGAAACAAATCAGGTGCTTCTTGGACCCCAACACAGTCTTGGATGTGTTTAGGCCAATGAAGTTGAACAGGGCAGGAGGTTGGGTCTTCTTTGCCTGATTTTTCTCATCTAATATTCAGGTTATTTAAATCTAGGTAACTTCACTTGGCTTTGCTCATAGACATGGAAGAGAACTTACAAAAAGGCAATTCCTGTCACCCTGAAACAGGGATCTGAGGGGGCTGGAATGAATCACTCCTCTGAGTGCTGGTTTCCCTCCATTAGCTATGGACATATTACTCCATCCAGGTCAGCAAGGGCACATGAATCCTTCAGGAAGCTGGGTGCAGGGTGGGAATTTGAATCTGGACATGTTGTGTGCCAGGCTGAAGCTGGAAAGACTGCTCCATCCCTCCTTTTCTAATCTGACAGGCAGGTAGCTGCTGATCCCAGTGGAAATTTTCCTGTACAGATGAAGGCATTCAGCTTTTGGCAGCCCTTCCCCTGGCATTCTTCTCCAGCAGTAAATCACAGAGCGGCTGAGGGACCTCTGGAGACCGTCTCGTCCAACCCCCCTGCTCTCGTGCATCTGTGTCATTCTCAGCCTTGACACTAAAGTGCTTCTGTCTTTTGTGAAATCCAGACACACTGCCAGAAGTAACTTGAAAAAATGATTTTGAGAGAAAAAAGAGAAAAAGTGACAGCAGAGCACAGCTGTGCCAGCAGAGGCTGAGGGAGCTGTCGTGCTGTGTTATGGAATGCATGGAAGGGCCAAGTGGCAAGAGACCACTGGCACTGCAGGATGACATGGTCATTCCTCTGCCCTCCCAGCTGGGACTGAGGCTGGGATGTGCTGGAAGGGCTCTCCTTGTTGCTCCACAGGTCCTGGAGGAAGTGCATCAGGATCTGGAGAGGTTTGGAAACCGCCTGCTGACCAAGATCCAACCTCTGAGCTGGGAATGTGAGCTGAACCCCCCTGTGTTCCGGCAGTACGATGCCTGGGGGCGGCGCGTGGATCACATCCACACCTGCTCAGCGTGGAAAAGGATGAAGGAGATTTCAGCAGAAGAAGGGCTGATTGCTGAAGCCTATGAGAAAAGATACTCCAACTGGAGGTAATGGGGAATGACTCAGTGCCTTCCTGATTGTTCTTAGCAAGGTTTATTCAGCATTTTGCAGGATTGAGCTGGTTGTGTAACTGGTAGCAGATGCTGTACGGACACTAGCACACCTCCCACTGTCCCCAGCAGCTCTGTCTGTCCACTGCAATGTTCTACCTCACCAATGATAAGCCATAACTAATGGCCCACACTTGATCATAATATTCTTTGATGTCAACTTCCAGACTGTGGGGCCTGGCAGTTCCCCGCACCATTCCAGCTTTGTGTATGTTAGTTGTAATGCAGCTGAGGATGTGGAATTTCACTTGCAGGTTTTTTGTATTCCACACCATGGAGACAGACCCACATTTCATATTAAAAACTGCACAGGCTGGCCTAGTGCTGGCTGTCCCACTGGGACTGAGAAACTCTGCTGTTCGTCTTTCCTCTCCCTGGCTGGAAGAGTTTTTCTCCTCTCAGAGAATGAGTGGTCTCAGAAATGAGTGGTCTGATCCTCACCCATTTTGGGTGTAATTTTTCCTCTCTTCCCAGTCAAGATATTTCATCCTCCTGCTGTTGCACTGCTGTGTAACCCGCCTGTTTTCCCTCTGTCTCTCCCAGCCGCCTGTACCAGGCTGTCAAACTGTACTTGTTCTCAAGCTCCTCTGGAGGTTTCAGCTGTCCACTGGCCATGACTGATGGGGCAGCCAAAGTCATTGAGGTATGAGCTTGGCTGGTCCCTGAGGGAGCAGCCCATGTCCTTGCACTGTGGGTTAGAGGCAGGAGCACCAGCCAAGGATGGAGGAGCACTGATCCATCTGGTTCTGGGCATGGCCCTTCCTGGCTCTGTGACTCAGCTCTGTCTCCCACTGCCTTTCTCCGTTAGGGACAAAGCCTTTGTGCCCATGCCAGCTTAAATATTCACTGACAGCACCGTGTTCAATAAGGTCTTTGCTGCACATGGCACCTGTGGCACTGCAGGTAGCTGGAAAGGTGTCCCAAGTGGAAATGTCCAAGGCTTGGAGCAACCTGGTATTGTAGAAGGTGTCTCTGCCCATGGCAGGGGCAGGGGGTGGGGCTGGATGAGCTTTAAGACCTCTTGCAACCCAAATAGATCTGTATTTCTATATTCCTGTGTTATGTTTTTACTACAAAGTAATTTGTTTTCCCATTTTTGTGTGGAGTGGCACTTAGATATTATAGGGCAGATCCATACCTGATGTAAATTCACCAAACCACCACGACTTAACAATTGGAACATTTGGTTCTGCATCTTAGTGACCCCCTCTGCATTGCCTCAGTGCCTACATAGGATTCAGAGGAAAATATTCCTTAGGTAGCCGACCCTGGGGATTTTAATTCACCAAAACTTAAAGCAGCACAAGGCAGTTTGCTCTTCCCTGCAGCTCTCTGGGTGCTGGTGACATCCAGTGTACATGAACCTGGCACATGAGCTGTTTGAGACCTCTCTCTCCAGAAATCCAAGGGGATAGGGATGCTCAGCACTCCGTGTTGTAATACAGGTCTGCACCTTGTGTCTGCACAGTGCTGCAGCAGCTGGTGGGAGCTGGGCTGGCTCACAGGCTCTCAGCAGCACCTGCAGATGCTCTGTGGTGCAGGACACCCACCTGGCTTCCAGACTGGCCTGTCTGAGCCCTGAATACACCAGTTAAGGCAACTGTCTAATGTCAGCTATTGGGTTTTGATCATCTCAGTTTATTTTTCCTCCCCTCAAACAGTCACTGGGTATTTCTGGATCTCTGAAAAACGCTTTTGACCATCTGACATCCCGTGACCCCGAGAAGTTCTGGACCTCTGGCCAGTGGATGACCGAGCGAAGGGGTGGCTCAGATGTTGGTAAGTGCTCTGGGGTGGGAACAGATACGGCAGTGAGAACTGAACACAAAAGATGTGGAGAACCTAAAAAGCCAAGGAGCTGGGTTAGGACTTGAGCAGAAATCATCCAAATCCTCTGCACAGCTCTGCTTTTTAACCAACAAAAGACCCAATCTCTGTGTTCTTGTGCACACAGAGCCCTTTGTGTTCTTGGCTGTGGTAACCCCTAAAGAACTGGAGGCACTGGATTATACACACTGCATTTCTTATCAAGGGTCAATGAAAGAGATTAACAGCTAACCCATGCTCCATCTTCACAGCAAGAAGTGCCTTAGAGGAGCTGCTGCTTATGCTGTAAAATCAGCATTGATTGACACAGAAGTTGCCATAAGACCAGGAAATTTTTTCCTCTTTTTCAGCAAATGGCACTGAGACCGTGGCCAGGAAGCAGCCGGATGGCACCTATCGTCTGTATGGATTTAAGTGGTTCACATCAGCAGCTGATTCTGATATGGCATTAACCCTGGCCAGGATAGCAGATGCTGAAGGACAGGTAAACTATTTCTGTTGGGTGGGGAACCAGGGGAAGGAGCAGGGGCATTCTTTTTCTTCCTTGTTGCATTGTAATGAAATCCCCTGTGTGCCTTGCAGTGTGTCCAGGGCTCCAGAGGCCTGTCCCTGTTCTTCCTGAGGGTTCGGGATGAGGAGGGGAAGCTGAACAGCATCCAGGTGCAAAGGCTGAAGGACAAGCTGGGCACGAGACAGATGGCAACAGCAGAGCTGTGGCTGCAAGGAGCCAGAGCAGAGCTGGTGTGTAAGAGTTCCCCTGCCCTGGGGAATGGGCTTCTCTAGCATGGTACTCACTCCTGGGGCTTTCAGCAGAGATCCCAACTGAAAAAGTTCCTCTCTTCCACCTCTGTAGCTTGGCTGTCCACATCACAGAACAATTCACTGGTGGGGCTCTGTGTGGGGCAGAGCTGAGAAGAGCTGAGGAAAAGATGTGAGAGAAGACAACAACAACAACAACAAAGTTGTTTTAGGCTGGTCATTTCTCTAATCCTGGCTCCTGAGCCAGCTGAGGGACAGTCTGTGTAATGTGCAGTAGGAACAAGCAGCAGGGACCAGAACTGATCATGACACAGTCTCCAAAAGCAACTTCCGTGATCATAGAAACACAATTCCAGGATAGGTTGGGTTGGAAGGGACCTTAAAGCTCATCTCATTCCACCCCTTGCCATGGGCAGGGACACCTTCCACCAGACCAGGTTGCTCCAAGTCCCATCCAACCTGGCCTGGGACACTTCCAGGGATGGGGCAGCCACATCACAGCACAGACTTAGCTAAAATGAGACAAATGTATTTTAAAGCAAGAAGGTCTCTGAGTGCCTGAGGGCAGACAGGGACAGAGTGGACAGCCTGTGTCCATGTGTCCACACCATTTTCATGTCCATCCCTATGCAAGGTGAGTGCAGGGCTCACGTCAGCCCTTGTTCTTGCAGATCTCTGCAGAGGGTCGTGGAGTGGCCGCCATCTCCAACATGCTGAACATCACTCGGATCCACAATGTCATTGGTGCTGTGGCTTCCATGAGAAGGTGAGGGCAGCATGGATCCCTCCAGGGCTGAAGGAGCAGCTGCTCAGGACGAGGGGACTTTGCAGTGCTTCGCATTGCAGCCAAGTGTCCCCTTTGCGGGACAGGCCTGGAGCCAGCAGTGCTGGAGGAGGGTGGCCTGTGAGTGGGTGACCTGTACAGGTGTGGTACAGCTGAATAGGGTTCTTACAGTGCAGGGGACTGGAAGGGAATGCTCAGAAGTGGAAAGTTGCTGGTGTAACTGTTCCCTGTGTGTGTTCCCTCCAGGATGATCAGTCTGAGCAGGGACTACGCCTGCAAGCGCATGGCCTTCGGGAAGCTCCTCAAGGACCATCCCCTGCACGTGCAGACGATAGCCCGGATGGAGGTGAGGCTTTTGGGAGCCAAGCTGGACCTGCTGGGAAGGAAAGAGGGCAGAGACCCTGTGCTGTTAGTGAGCACAGCCAGATTTAGATTTAGATTTAGAATTTGCACTCAGATTTAGGAGGCTGTTCCTGCTACAACAAAGTGGATGCAGCAAGGGAATTATTGTACTCTAGTGGCATTTGATCTGACTACAGACCTAGCTCCTCTGCTGGACTTCAGGTTATCCTAAACAATTACCTGGGAGTTTCCCTGAAGGGAATGCCCTTACTATGATAAGCGATGACGTCTGATGTTGGGTGTTTGCCTCAGAATCCAGGCCTGACACCACAGTCCCTTGACTCTTGTCCAAGACTTTTATGGACTCATCCAACTTCCCTGGGAGCTCCTGCATCAGGAGATGGGCTGTAAACAGTATTTCACAGCATTCCCTACCTTGCAAGATGGGAAAAGGTGGTCAAGATCTGTCAAACATGACTTCAGGCTCCAGAATCTCACTGCCTGTGGCCAGAACTCCCCCTTTGAAAGGAAGGGCAGATCCTACATAGTCCTACAACACAGAGCTCCTTACCCTGGTGCTTCTCAAATCCAAACTTGCCAGGGAAGTAAGCTGCTCAGGAAGAAATCTGTCACAGACCTTGCAGCTCCTGGTGCTTAGAGGTTGGCTGTCATCTCACATCCCTTACCTTTGGAAAGGATGTGGATTTGGGGCCAGGATGCTTTTTAGGAGCTTTGTTAAGGCTCAAATAGGCCTGATGAAAAGCACTGCCCCTTTACTGCCTCACAGTGCCCAAGAGTGGCAGAGAACCTTTAATACTCCATACTTTGTGCCTTGGCTGCTCAGAGGTCTCTGAAGCTGTGGGTCTGAGCAGGCAGGGGAGACATTTTACCCTGGAGGCATCTCATGCATGGAGTCTGGAGTCAGCAGAGTTCCAGATCCCTGCCAGTGAGTCCCCCTGTCCTCACAGGTGCAGGTGAGAGGGGCATTTCTGCTGCTTATGGAGATCGTTCGCCTGCTGGGCCTGGCTGAAACCAACCTGGCAAGTGAGCAGGAGCAGCTGCTGCTGAGGCTGCTCATCCCAGTGGCCAAACTCTACACAGGGAAGCAGGTATGGAACGGATTGATTAGCCCAGAGTGTGGAATATTGGTGACCACAGAGCTGGGAAGAGGAGTGACACAGCAGTGAGAGCAGGGGATACCTGCAGGACATGCAGCAGTTCCTGCTCTGGAGGCTGCTGCTCCTGCAGGTCCTCTGTGTCACTCAGGCTTCATTCCCATCTGCTCCTCCTGCAGGTAATGACCGGCCTGCCTCAGGAGATGAACAGGATCCAGTCAGCCCACCCCAGCAGGAGCTGCTGTGTGGTGTGGGAGGTTGGATTTCCCCCTCAGGCACTGTGGGTCATGGCAGCTCTCTGCATTTTGCAGGCTTCTGCTGTGGCTGTTGAGGCAATGGAGAGTTTTGGGGGCCAAGGTTACATGGAGGACACAGGCTTGCCAGTCATACTCCGGGATACTCTGGTAAGAGGGTGGAAGGAGAAGGTCCTGTGTGTCACCAAGTCCCCTGCTAAAGACACACACCAGAGAGAGCACAGCTCTCCTGGGCTCACTTCAGGTGTGACAGCTCTTCCCTCACTGCCTTCTTGCTGGGCCCAGCCACCCCCAAGGAAGGACAGGATGTGTTCCTGATGCTGTTCCCTAGCACAGCAATGGAGCTGGGCTCCACTGCTCCCTTCCACTTACTGTGAGACAAGGCATCTCTGGAGATATCCTTGGTATCCCTTACTTCTGCCCTGTGTCTTTGTTCCCTCACGCTCCCCTTCTTTGCTGCAGTCACTGCAAGGGCTCCCTCAGGCTCTTCCACAGTCTCCTCTTCCCCACAGGTGCTGTCCATATGGGAGGGAACAACAAATATCCTGTCCCTGGATGTGCTGCGATCCCTTGCCAAGAGCCAAGGGCAGGTGATGGCTGTGTTCCTGTCCACAGTGCAGGTGAGCCCACAGCTGCAGCCCTGCTCAGCCTGATCCACCCACTTTGGCAAAGCCTTCTTTGGGGTTTGTGCTCCTGCCTCAGACTGGCAGGGAATAGGCCCAAACTGAAAGCTTTAGACAAGTACTCAAACAATTGGAATTGTGTCTTACAATTCTGCTCCTTAAATAGCTCTTCCAAAAGCAGGATGCAGGCAGTGCTCATCCTGGGATCCTTGTGTGCAGACACTTTCAGCTCAGCAGTGGGGAGCTTGGCACTGTCAGAGTTCCTCAAGACAGGTACCAAAATAAGTGTATTTTTAACGTGACTCACCTTCCTGAATCCAAAATAATTTTGTGGTTTTGTTTCTTAACTGGAAAATCACCACAGGACTGCTGAGTATTGAACCTCACTAGGGCTATCTACTGCATTATGACTTTCTATTTTTATTCCCTGAAAAGAGGGAAAGAGCCAAAGGAATTCCATTTCTGTCTCTTTGGATTTGCTGTTCTTTGGCTCTACTTTTAAAGCTGCTCATGTGACAGGAGTTCAAAGTAGCTCAGAGTTTCATGAAGGTGAAGGAGCATCACCTGGCTTGGTGAATCCCGAAAAGGGAGACAGGAGGCAGGATCAGAGGGTGTTGTCTCAGAGGTGGCATTATTAATCCAGACACAGCAATCCAGATCTCATTAGCCCAGACACTGCTAGAATTCCGGGCATCTGGAGTGCTGGATTTAGTTGTGTGCAGCCTTCACCTTCCCACACAGACCCTGTAAGAAGGGAAGGGTCTGGGACACTGTTCTCCTGCAGCACTGGGGACTGGACAGAGCTTTCCAGAGCCTGAGTAGTTCTCACAGTGGCTGCAGTTGGCAGCTTGTGTCCCATCTCACCCCCCCAGCTCAGCTGTGCTCTGTACACAGCAGCTCTCTAACCTCCAGCAGGGAGGGTCCCCTTGCCATCCTCTCAGACAACTTTTGAGAAGGAAGAAATACCTCAAACGGTTTTACCACCAAACAAGAAGCCAGATCTGCTCAGGAGCAGGACTGAGCACATTTGCTGGGGGCAAATCCAGCTGCTGGTAAACAGCTGCTTAGGCTGACACTGCAGGTAATGGATGGGGAAGTAGAGGAGCTGTGGGCAGGCTCTAAAATAATTTGGAAAGAAAAAGCTTCCACAGACTTACACTGAGCACTGAGTTAAACAGACACCCCACAAAGGTGCTGTGCTGCACCCTGGAGCACCTCCCTGGTGCAGCTGGGAGGGCCCCTCCAGCTGCTCAACAGCTGGATAATCAGGGAAGCATTAGGGAGCACAGTGCCGTGGTGCAGAGCAGGGACCTGCAGAGCAGCAACACGAGATTCATTAATTAACGAGCTCCTCAGTGCTCCCATCAATCACGCTGTGGCTGAGGCTGGAGGGAGGTGAGTGCTGGCTTCACTCACCAAATTCCAGTAATGCCACTGCCTTTACTGTCCATGTCACATTGAGGCTGCTGCATGTCCAGGGAGAGGGACTGGGTCAGGCTCAGCAGTGTGGATGCTCCAGTTCTGGGTAGAGCACATCAGACCTGGCCAGTTTAAGCTTTTCCTTTATGCCTTGGGCAGCCAGGTGCTGGAAAGGCAACCTGGGAGGGATTTCTGTCTGCAGAGTTCTGCAAGAACGTGCTTGAGTTTTTATACCAGAATCAGGTTTTCACTCACAGGTGATAAACAACACCTTTCTGAGCTCCAGGTGTCCAAATTCTTTCAGTCTGTGAGTCTGGCTCATTTTGAAACATCCCTCCCAATCCTGTCTAGTGAGGCAATAATTTAACCCACCATAAAGGGGTTTTTACTGTTCCAATCCATTTCTTTTTTATGGATGCACACAAACCGAGTACAGTTTATTTTATGTTTGTCCATCAAGGTTCTCAGTGTGCAAGACTTGTGCCCATTGTCAGAGGCTTTGCAGAAAGCAGCACTAGTGCCTGTACAGCACTTGCTTGTCTGAAGGTCAATACAAGGGTAACTCCAGGTTTTGCCTTTATCCTTTATCAATTGTGTCTCTTGATGGTGAGATGCCCAGTTCTGATCAGGAGCAGGAACCAAGGGTTGTAATTATCCTCAGGAAAAGGGAAATACAGAGAACTTAGCCATCCTTGCACAATGTGACTATGAGAAGCTGAATTTTTAGGGGTTTTAATACGCAGCTGAGTTTGTGACAAACCATCTTGTCGAGAGGATATAAGTATGGAAATCCTGGGGAGAAGAGTGAGTTTGAGAGACAGGGATGGAATCATGGAATGGTTTGGGTTGGAAGGGACCTAAAAACACCTCTCATCCCACCCCCTGCCACCTTCTACTGTCCCAGGCTGCTCCAAGCCCTGTCCAGCCTGGCCTTGGGATCCAGGGGCAGCCCCAGCTGCTCTGGGCACCCTGTGCCAGGGCCTGCCCACCCTGCCAGGGAACAATTCCTGCCCAATATCCCATCCATCCCTGCCCTCTGGCAGTGGGAGCCATTCTCTGTGTCCTGTCCCTCCATCCCTTGTCCCCAGTCCCTCTCCAGCTCTCCTGGAGCCCCTTTAGGCCCTGGAAGGGACTCTGAGGTGTCCCTGGAGCCTTCTCTCCTGGTGAACACCCCCAGCTTCTCACCTGAGTGGGGCAGAGAAGCAGAATCCCCCCTTCCCTGCTGCCCATGGTTTGGGATCAGTCCAGGACACATCCTGACTTCCAGCTCTGCTGTGGTGAGATTTCAGGTGGATACTGCACAGGGCCAGTCAGTTCGTGTTGTACTAAAATTTTATTGGCTGGAATTTTGAGCCAGAGCCCTGGGTGTACTTTCAAATTCAATTACAATCTGAAAAGTGCCTCTAAAATAGCCTTGGGCAGTTCGTTGATTATTGCATTTGAGTCACTTCAGGTGAAATTTGGGCACATCCCAGGACAGGGTCTCAGCACCAGCCCCGCATATGTCGTGTAAGGCTCAGAATCAACTCTTGCCTCAAGAATTTCTACGTAGGGCTGTAATTCAGGCTGTAACTCAGGCTGTAAATCAGCCCTGCAATCTCAGACACATGAAGTGTTTTCAGGTCCTTTTCAAACCACAACCCCAATTTTCTGGCAGCAGGAAACAAATCGAGGTTATTGATGTGGGGCCGTGTGTTCACTCCAAGCATTGACACAAAATTGTGCTTTTAGCCCTGTTTGGGATGTTCCTTCTGTCACTGTATTTTTAGATACTCATGATTAATTTTGTAAGTAAAAACCACTCTGACCACATTGCTTGGGAGCCAGTGCAAGCAAACAAATAAGCAGCATCTTAAAATTCCTCCATGAAAACAGAGGGAATCAGAACTATTGGAGCTGTGAAGCTCCTTTGCTGATCATTTCAGGCTGTAAGGGGTGGTGGGGCAGTGATGCTGTGTGTGCTTCCTCCCAGAGCTGGAGCAGAGCAACCAGGAGAGGAGCTGCTCCTGCCTCAAGCATTGCCCTGGAGCAGCTCCCAGCCTCTCCATCCCAAGTGCAGAGAGAACATAGAAAAACCTTCCAGAAGATCCAGGACTTTTGGTTAGGAAAGGAATAAGTGCAATTGGAACAACAAAGAAAGTAAATTATTGGTGAGCCAAGAAAATACAAGGTCTTTTTTACCCCTTAAGGATAAATGCTACTTTTACATTCCTGATCCATATTTCCAGGTGTTGAAACCTTCCAGCTGTGGCAGCATGTCCGTGTCCCAGCCACAAGCAGCCTGTGTTGTCTCTGTGCTCGGCCACTGCTGTGCTGGCTCCCACCCAAACTGAGGGAATTGATGCCTTTGGGATCTGTGATCCTCATTAGCAACAACCTCTGAGCTGCTTTACAACACCTCATCAGTATTCCATGGGCTTGGAGGTTTATGGGCTTTATGTTGGCACTAGAATTGTTCTTGTATTTGACCAGCACATGCTGGGGCTGTTTCTGCCCCTGGAGCCTGGAACAGCAGCACTGGCAAGCGTAGAAGTGTGGGGTCTGAGCAGTCAGAGAACACAGAGCAAACCTGGGCTCAGCCCAGCCCAGATGTATTTTCTGGTCCAGCAAGAGGAGCTGCGGGATCACCTCAGCACTGAAAGCCTCAGAAACATAAAAAATTCCTTCTGTGTAGCTGCTGCTCACAGGCTTCAGTCTCGTCTGCAGGTTATTGATGGAGCTAATTAATGAGCAGCACCTCCCACCACACTGTGCTGCTCACATCCAGCCTTTGGGGATGCTCTCCAAGCTGATCCCTCAGTCCTGCTGCAGAGAAAGGGGTTTGAGTGAGGAAAGATGGGATCACAGCTCACGAGGCAGGGCCAGCCCCAAACACAGGCAGTGTCCCATCCTTCCTGGGAATAACAGAGGAGACACTGATGAACAGTGTGGGAAGGCCGTGCCCAAAGAACAATTCCAGATTTTCTCAGCAGAGTATCACTGCTGCTTTCACAAGGGATTTGGGATGTGACAGAACAGAAGCTTGGCTCAACCAGGGGAGCTTTCAGGCAGTGCCACTGGCACAGTTAAATGCCCAGTCTTCATCAGAATCATGGAATGCTTTAGGTTGGAAAAGCCCTCTGGGATCAAGTCCAGCCATTCCCCAGCACTGCCAAGGCCACCACTGCCCCATGTCCCCAGTGCCACATCCACAGGGCTGTTCAATCCCTCCAGGGATGGGGATCCACCCCTGCCCTGGGCAGCTGTGCCAGTGTCTGACTGCCCTTTCGGTGAAGGAATTTTCTCTAATATCTAACTTGAACCTCTCCCAGTGGAGCTTGAAGCCATTTCCTCTTGTCTCGGGGCCTTTTCCTCTGACACAATTTGCAGAGGAAAGCTCATTTAAATGTGAATTTTCCTGCTTGGACACAGCTTGAGCATATTTGTGCAAGTAACAATATAACCCTGGGAGAATTAGACCCTGATACAGGTATAGAGAGAACTGGGGATGAGTGCAGCTGGGAAGCCAGAATGGAAACAGCAACCTGCTGGTTCTGGTCACAGGGAATTCTCCATCCCCAAGGCAAGGCTGGGAGCTTCCTTTTCAGCACATCCCCTTCCCTGGCTGCTCCATCTGTGCCAGTGGCAGCCACCTGGATCTGAGTTTGCTGTCAGCAGCTGGGTGTGCCCAGGGTCCCAGCAGCCCCTTCCCTGGCACAAGGCAAATACACTGGAATTTTTCCTGTGCTTGTTCTCTCTGCAGGAGAAGCTGGAGCTGGTTTCAAGCACCAAGGAACTGGCCCCGGCCGTGCAGCGGACACGGGAAGCCATCGGGAGCCTCCGGCAGTTCATGGCAGCTGCGGGCTCAGAGCAGGGACTGACCATGGAGCTGGCAGCCAGGGACTTCTCCTACAGCCTGGCACGGATCTACACAGGCAGGGCAATGACAGGAATGCCAGAAACATGGAATGGGCTGGGTGGAAAGGGACCTCAAAGCTCATCCAGTCCCACCCCCTGCCATAGTCAGGGACACCTTCCACTATCCCAGGGTGCTCCAAACCTCCTCCAACCTGGCCTTGGGCACTGCCAGGGATCCAGGGGCAGCCACAGCTGCTCTGGGAATTCCATCCCAGCCCCTCCCTACCCTCCCAGGGAACAATTCCTTCCCAATATCCCGTATCTCCCTGCCCTCTGGCAATGGGAAGCCATTCCCTGTGTCCTGTCCCTCCATCCCTTGTCCCCAGTCCCTCTCCAGCTCTCCTGGAGCCCCTTTAGGCCCCAGAAGGGGCTCTGAGGTGTCCCTGAAGCCTTCTGTTCTCCAGGTGAGCACCCCCAATTCTCCCAACCTGACTCCAGAGGGGCTCCAGCCCTTGGAGCAGCTCCATGGCCTCCTCTGGACTGGCTCCAGCAGCTCCAGGTCCTTCCTGTGCTGATGGATTTCAGACCAGGGAAGGGCTGGGAATCAGCCATAGACATGTGATTCACGCCTGGGTCAAGGGTGGAGCTCTAAAGATCAGTCCCCACCTTTGATGCTGAAGCAGATGAGCCTCAAGCACTGCTGAGAAGTACCCACCGTCCTTTTTTCCTGAGCCCTGGGCTGTTCTGGCAGGAGCCTGGGAATGCTGACACCTCCTACTCCCCTACAGGAACTCTTTTGATGGAACACGCGGCTCGGGCCGATGCTTCCTCCGCAGACGCCTGCGCTGCCCTGAGGTAGGCACAGCCCTGTCCACCCTGAGTGTTCTGGATGATTCCATGGGCAGTGCCAGAGGCTTTGCTCTGCCTCTGGAATGATGCAGCCCCTGGCCACGGCCAGATCCACGAGCACAGCTGGGAACAAGCAGCGGCTGCTCTCAGCCCCGGGGCTTCTCCCTGCTCGGGAGATTCCCGCATTGATGGGGGGATCCCACCTGGGCACGGCCCGGGTTGGCACCAGCCCCGTGTGTGAGGCAGGACTGGCACATCCCTCTCTCCATCCAGGTGGTGCAGCCAGGACCTGTGTCCGGTGGCCGTGGAGTCAGGGAGGGGCAGCTACGGGGGCGGGGCAGCGCTCCAGGACAGCGCCCTGGTGTTCGGGAACAGCCGGCTCTGAGCGCCCGCAGCCCCGGCACGGACACCAGGTGCGTTGAAATCCAAAAAATCCCCCAAATCCTCAGACTCCTGCAGATTCCAGGTGTGGTGGAATGTCCCGTTTCACGAGGAGCCAGACCAAATCCTTTAGGAGTGACCGCCACCTGCCCCGTGCTGAAATCCAGGCCTTTGAGGTTTCCTAATGCAGACACAGCCCGGAGAGTCGCTCCAAGGTGCTGGAATGTTCTCACGGTGCTTTAGGAAAAGCCCCAGTGATAAAATCCAGACAAGAGCTAGAAGCAGTAGCTCTTAAGTGCCAACACTCTTCTTTTTGAAGAAAACCAACCAAAATCAATCTGAAAGTTTTCTACAGCTTATTAAATACAGAAACCCATCATTTTCCCCTGATCACCTTCCTGCTTTCCCGTGCTGACCAAAAACTTCCACCCCTGGATGGGGTTTGTTCCAGGGGCAGCCCTTTCCACCCAATGTGGACATCAACCTCGTCAGGAGCTGCTGCTTTCTGAAGAAAAAAGGGATTTTTATTCTTTCTGGCCTCCAGAAAGTTGATGAATTCCCTATGCACATGTCCTAATGATGCTGCAATCTATCCTGACATAAATTCTACATAAGTTTTAGACTGGAACCCAGTAATTCTCCACCTAAGCACTGGCTGTGGGCTTCTCCTTCCCCTCAGCCCATCAGTCAACCTGCTTGGTATTGCCCTGCTGGCTACAAGTTTTTAATTAAGAAGTTGCTAATAGAAGAAGAAAAGCACTAATAGATCGAAGACAGCTGGAATTTATAGCTGGGAAATGGTACAGCAGCCAGACACTGAGTGGGAAGAGGGGGAAGGAGCTGTTTGCTGAGATGAGAGTTGTCCAGAGTTTCAAAGGTGGCAGAGCCAGGACACAAAGGGTGGCTCTGGGGAGGAGCAGAGTGGAGCAATCCCCACAGGACACAGCAAGGGAGGCTCCATGGGCCCCCTGTGTCCTGGCACAGGGATCACAGGCTGAGCCAAGCAGAGCTTCCCTGAAATCACCAAAATGCCATGAACCAACCCCAGCAGCAAAGGGCTTCTGTTGTCTGTGCATTGCAGGGAATAAAGAGTGTTTGGGTTTGGAAAATCTCCTACATCATCGAATCATGGGCTCATGGAATGGCTTGGGATGGAAGGGACCTTAAAGCCCATCCAGTCCCACCCCTGCCATGGCAGGGATACCTTCCACTGTCCCAGGCTGCTCCAAGCCCCAACCTGGCCTTGGGCACTGCCAGGGATCCAGGGGCAGCCCCAGCTGCTCTGGGCACCCTGTGCCAGGGCCTGCCCACCCTGCCAGGGAACAATTCCTGCCCAATATCCCATCCATCCCTGCCCTCTGGCAGTGGGAAGCCATTCCCTTGTCCTGGCAGCAGAACTCTGTCCCTGCAGTTTGGTGTCAGAGATCTCAGGGGTCAATGCTGGAGCTGCTGTGCCCTGTAAGACTCAGGAGAATGGGGAGGTGAGGGAGCAACGCCGAGCTCCAAGTGATGATGGCAGGACATCCGCCCCCAGCTGTGCCCGTGGGTCCAGCAGCAGGAGATGGATGTGACCCAGGAGGGAAGGTCCAGGTGCTGAAGTGTTTGCAGAGCTGATCCTGGGATCCCCTGCTCTCCCTAAGGGCTCAAATCCAAGTGCTGCCAATCCAGGCTTTCCCTCTTCCCAGCCCATTTTACATTTCTGAACACCAGGATTCATTTTTTTCTCATATATGAGCTATAATTTCCCTAAAAATAAGCCCTTCAAACTGGGAGCTCTGCAGATGCACCACCACAGAGAACAAGGGACTATGAATTCATCACAGTGTAGGAAAATGACAAATTTATTAAGATCTAAATATTCACTCTGAGGCTACAGTGGAATAAAGGCTGTTACACACGAGGGTCTGACACTTCCAGTGCTGCTGAACAGCTCTGCCCTCAGAGCTTGGCATGATTTCAAATATTTCATGTGGTTCAAGTAAGTCATTGAGACTTCAGATGTAATTTTAATATAAATCCCACCCAAAAAGAGGACAATCAAATCCATCACCTGCTGCCACTGCAAGGTCTAAAAATCATTTTGTGACAGAGCTGAGGGAAATCCCTTCAAAACCCAGATTTGTTAAATAATAAAGTCAAATTTCAGCAGCATTTATAAAATGTCAAAATCCAAAGAACTGAAGAGCTGAAATCCCAAATGCAACCATGGGAGCTCTGGCAGCTGCGCTGTGGGAATGAAGGGCAGCTCTAAGGACTGGGGAGCACCCGGGCCAGTTCTGCTCGTGGCAGAGCTGCTCTTTGCTCAGTGCTGACTCCAAACCTCGTCTGGACAGTTCCCCCTGAGCCTGCTCAGCTTCCTGCACATGGTTACTGCCCTTTGCAGCCTCCCAACACCTCAGGGCAGGCTCCATCCCACCCCTGCAGCCTTTCCCACGGAGTGGAGCAGTTCCCAAACACCTCCTTCACTTTCCTTCCCCAGCAGAGCCTTTGGTTCCCACCCTGCACCTGCCACCACCACCCTGACGTGTGCCCAGCTGAGAACTGAGCCCTCCCAGGGTGAGATCCGGTGCCAGCTCCCCTCAGTTCCCAGCGGTTCCTGGCGCTGTTTGAGATCCCGACTCTGGAGGTTGTTCCACAGACCAGGGGCAGCTCTGAAGCCGCCAATGGTGACAGCAGCGCCGGTGTCCTGAAAGCTCATGGGCTGTCCAAGAGCTGGGACAAAGGAAAAGGGAAGGAGGCTCCTTAGGAAGAAATAATCTCAGGGAAATGAGCTTTGACACCTTCAGCCATGTCCTCCTCTGGCACAGCTGCTGCCCCTGGTAGGAGCCCTTCTGCACCCTGGGGAAGCTCAGAACTTCTCTGATCCCTCTGGGGTCCGGGGCCTGTAACATCTGCAGGACAATGAGCTCCTGAAAGCACTCAGGAGAAACTAAAGTGGGAGAGGAGCTCCAGGAAATCCCATTGTGAGATGTGAAACGCTTAGCGTGGTCCTTACACCAGCAAACGTGATTCCTGCTTCATCTCTGCTCCAGATCACATCAGCGGCTCTACCCCAGCCTGGTTTGATTTGATTTAAGGAACACCAAATCACAGAGGGCTTGTGTTCAAGGTCTTGTGATAACATGTCTGGCCCCAAATCCCTCACAGCTGCTCAGACCCCTGAGAATTAAGGGCAAATCCTCAAATATGTAAGAGAACAAATAAATGATGGTGAGGGGCTTGAGGAGACAGGACAGTGCCCAGCTGGACTGAGCCAGGAAATTGGAGCCATTGGAAAATGGGAATAATCCTTGTGCAGGACAAACATCACTTGAATTTTCCACCTTCTGGGAAACAAAGATCTTAAACCTGAGTGAGTCTGGTTTGATCCCAAAGAGCCACAGCTCCACCACCCAGCATCGGGGTAAGGCAGGTGCAAGTGGGAATGGAGCTTCCACTGCCAAACCCCACTGAAAGCAGGGGGAACTCCCTGGAAATCCAGGCTGCTCCTACATTTGGGTAACATCACAGACTGAAATAGGATGGTTGGTCAAAGGGAAAAAGAAAAACAGGGTGTGGAGGGAGCCGAGTCTCTGGCACCTTTCTCCATGCTGGGAAAACCGTGCTGATTGTGCCAACAGCAGGGTGTGTGCACTGTGAGCCTCCCCCTTCCTGGGACTCCTGCATCAGGAAAACCAAGATTTAATTTTTTCTCTTAAGTTTAGGAGTGACAGTTTGTTGTTCCCTGGAAAGACACGGTGTGGAACAGGAAGCCAAGGGCAGCAGCTGCAGCCTCCTTTCTCAAGGCCTTGGTGTTTCTGCTGAGCCTCCAATACGTCCCCTCTGAGGGACAGGGAAGAAAACTAAGAAAGTGTGTTAGCAAAATGCTCCCATGCAAAAGTCTAAACTTTATTCACTTTTATTTATATATTTAACAATTCTAAAGTATTTACTTCTCGCTTTTGACAAAAATGAAAAATATAGGAGCACTTTACTCTCTTGTGGAGAGAAGGGTTATTTCTGTACACAGCTACGGAGAGACGGCTTCCTCCTTTACATACAAAGAAAAATAATATTAATAAAAAAAGTGCTTCATCGATCCAAAAAAGCCTAAAGAGCTGCAAGCTTTTATTCACACTGTACATCCCAGCCCCGGCCCGGCCCCTCTTGGCACGTGCAGAGGCTCCGGCTGATTCTGCACCACAAAGCCACACAAGGTTGGGGTGTCCCCCCCAGCCCAGCGCTGCCACCTCCCCCTCGCCCCCCCGGGAGGAGCCGCACGTTCCCTCGCCCCGCTCAGAACAGCGACGCCTGTGCCTCTCTTCCAGCCCCCAATCCCAAACACTCCTTGGCTGGAAATGCCATCCTTCACTTTGCTTTTCCCTCAGTGTCTCTTTCTCTAGACCTGTGCCAGGGAGATCCCAAGATGCTCCGTCCGTTCCCAGACCCCTTTCCCGCAAGGACGCAGCCTCCTCCTTCCTGGACATGGACGCCAGCGCGTGGATCCGGCAGGGTGGGAAGGGCACAGTCCAACCACCTCAGACCCACTCAGCTCTGCCAGATGGTTTCTCCACGTGACCCTCCCTTTGGATGATGTGATTGTGACATTCCAGGGAAGGGAAATGCAAAATGATCCTTTCCCAAGGTTCTTGGATTTTGAACTGTTGTATCCAGCCTCTCAAGTACTCCAGCAGGATTCTTGGGAATACCAGAGAATTTGGGATTTTCCCTAGGGAATGCACTGTGAGCAGGATCTACTCTTCCTCCTTGCCTGATTGCACTAAGCAAGATCTACGGGAAGGGAGTGGGATGAGCACCTACCAGTCGGTTACAAATGGGTATTTGGGAGTTTCACCCTTCAGTGAGGTGAGTGATTGGGACAGAAGGAGGAAGGGAAATCCATAATGTATTTTGGATTGTTTTAAGCTCCTCAGGCAGCTTTTTCCTATCTGGAGTACACTGAAGACAGCCTGGGAAAGGAGGAGCATCCCAAGAGGGTGCCCAGCACCAGCGCAATCCGCACAGGCCGAGCCCGGCGGGCCCCGGCCGCCTTCCGTCGGTTTGGATCGTCCAGTAAAGTGCGAGTGACCAGCCAGGACCTGACCATGACAATGCTCTGCTCCCACAGGGAATCTCACCCAGATGTGGCAAGGACAAGGCAGAGGTCTGCTCCTGTCCTCATGGATTCAGTCAGGAATTGCATGGTCAGAGCCCTGGCAAGGCCCGGTGTGATGCCTGGCTCAGCGTTCCAGGTGTTCCCGCTCCGAGGGCTCAGAGCTCACGGATTGTGTGCAGGTACAGAGCCGCCAGCGCAGGAACCTGACCGAGACCCCCTCGGGCAGCCAAGCCCACTGTGAGAACAGAGAGGGAAAAGGTCTCGGGAAGGAGATTCCCACCTCTTCTAGCAGCAACAGGTTCCCAAACAGCAGTTTCAGGTTTGGAATAACAGGAGTGATTGAAAGCACTGGAGGCTGCAGCTATTCAGGCTCTCCACTCTGGCCAGCCCGGCTCCCTCTGCTCCCCAAAATCCTCGGCCTGCAGCAGTTCTGCAGCAGGACAGATAAATACCCACAGGGACCCTGGCTCTGCACCAGCTCCCTCCCCACCTCCAGGACCCTCCCGCAAACAAACAGATATATTATTATATATACACACACGCACGCGCGGGGACACGGACACACAGACAGGACAGGCAGGAAAGGGGGAAGAGCTGGACAAGGAGAACCCCACGATCCAGCGGCACATCCTCGAGGTCTGTCCCGCCGAGCAGCGCCCCACGCCCCGAGCTCCAGGCGCGGCCTCCCAGTCTCGGCCCCCCGGGATCCGCGTGTCCATGGGGAAAGGTCGGCTCGGCTGCTCTCCCGCTGCTCCCAGGCCAGGAATTCAGTTGGACGTGGCAGTGATGGGCTTGTCCAGTTCGAGGTCCAGGCTGGAGCTGCCGGGGTGGAGGCTGCTGTAGCAGGATTTGCAGACTCTGCTGGGCTCGAAGAGCTGCTGGCTGGGAACGGGCACCTTCTGGTTACAGCAACTGGAGCAGAACACGTTGCCACAATTCCTTGTACCAGGAACAGAGGAGAAACGGGGAAAAAAAAAAAGATCAGAAGGAGTTTGATAAAGTTACCTGAGCTGTAAAATGAGATATTGCCAGGGCTGGGATGGGGGAGATAACTCCCTACAGGCCAGGCCATGGGCAGGGATAGCTCCAACATCTGTGCTCCTCCCTCCTACGGAGGGAGCAGATCCAGGGAATGGGCACAGGAAGGAGCACGGAGCCAGGGCCAGCGTGGAACTGCAGGTCATTCAATGCCTCTGTTCAGCACTGCTCTGAGCCAGGCTGGACAGGATCTTGTCACACAGAGAGCTCTCTGCCATTCACCATGGAATGGCTGAGGTGGGAAGGGACCTTAAAGCTCACCCAGTGCCACCCCTGCCTTGAGCAGGGACACCTCCCACAGGCCTGTGGCTGCTCCAAGCCCCGTCCAACCTGGCCTTGGACCCTCCAGGCTGGATGTGGGGCAGAGGAGCTCCAGCACAGTGCTAATGCCACACTGGGGCACAGACCCTTCAGAGCCAGGCTGTGGGGAATGTGAGGAACGCTGGGAATGGGCGGCTCTGGCCCTGCTCACGCAGCTGATCCAGCCCTGGCTCACAGGAGGGATGTGGCAGTGCTGGGAGCAGGCCGGAGCTCAGAGCTGGAAGGGTTTAAACATGGAAATACCAAAGCCCTCGGTCGCTGCCATCCTCCCACTGCCCCCACAGCCACTCCAGCAGTCCCACACTCCTGCACCCAGGAAACTGAGCCAAGGAGGAACATGCAAAGCCCGGGGTGGGCAGGCAGGTGTTCCATGCACAGGTGGGCACGCGCAGCATTCCTGGCACTGGCGGAGCCGCACCGGCGCATGCACCTCGTTACAGCTCAGAGTCATTAATTACCTTCTGCAGCCCCCCTCAAAACCTGGGAGCCCTGTGTGCCCTGTCCTCAATTCCTACAGGGAGCTGGGAGCAGCACTCCAGGGACCTGCATTTTGCCCTTTCCAGTAACTCTTTGGCATCAGGATTTGATGCCGTCCTTGTTCTGCACTGGAGATTTGCTGCTGCCAAGAGACTGCTGGGGAATTCTGCTGACACCCAGCAGCTCTGATTAATCCTTCCTTGCCAAGGAAGGAGATTTCCAGCTGCTGGTCACTGATGGGGAGAGAGGCAGCAGAGAAATCCCATTTCCCACTTCAGTGGGCCCATTTCCTCAGTTCCACACAGCGGCTCTGGGCAGACTGACAGGGACCAGCCTCTCTGCAGAGGTTCTGGACTGGAGGGCTGGAAATCCCTGTCAGAAGCACCTGCAGAAGTGGGAACAGCCCTGGGAGGTGCCACACAGCTCCCACAGTCCCATCTCACTGCTGGAGGAATGATTATCCCAGAGCAGCTCGCTGATGGATGAGAGGAAAATCAACCAGAGGGATTAAAACAAGGATCTCTTTGTTGGAGCTCACCATTCCTAACATATGCTGGGTTTTTGTTGTTTTATCCTAGACAATGGTGCTCTGATACTGCTTTGGAAAGCTCTGGCCAGCTCATCCTTCTATCCTGGTGGTCCCTAATTTGCTTCAGAGATTAAAGAGAGACATTAAAAAACAGGCTGGAAAAGGGATGTTGCTTGTATGAGGAAAGGGGGATGAAAGTCACCTCCCTACACCTCATCCTCATCCCAAATCTCAGATTTTCATCTAGTTTTGGTTATTCTGACCCTCCACCAGCTCTGTGGCACCTGTTCCAGCCATGGGATTTTCACTCCTTCTAAAACAAGCGGCAGGTTTTTGCCAAGACCCTGCACAGCAATACTGGAATTGTTTGGTAACATGTGGTCCTTTCCCAAAAATATGGGGGAAAAAAGGGAAATGATCAAAAATAAATGCATAAAACTTGCAGGGCAGTCTCCTGTCAGTGAGCAGTACACACATGGACTGACAGTGAGTGTTAGTCTGAACCACATCCCAGTTAAGCTCCCCAAAGCCAAGTCCTAAAAGCCTTTCTGTGAGGACAGAGATCACACGGATCCAACTCCCAGCAGCTCGTGCTGGCCACCCCCAGCTTAGTTCTGGTGATTTCCAGGCAAGTGAGAAACAAAGAGGGAGAAGAGCTGAGTTAGTTGGGAGAAGTCACCCAGGAAAGGCAGACGGACAACGGACAGAGGCTGCTGGAAATGCTCACCAGAGCTGATCAACTCGGTCAGTGTCCCTGCAGGGAGGAGAGAGAGCTCAGGGCAACAGGCAGAGGGAGCAAACACTGGCAACCAAGGAAGCTGGGAGGTTTTACCCTCCCTGCTCAAGGCCTTACACTGTGGGGTTCAGCTTATTTCCACTCCTGGGGAGGGCTGTAGATGTTTACTACAGAGATACTCGTGGTGCTGGTCTCACCAACAGCTGGGCCACTGCACATGTGGAAGCTGAAGGAGCAAAGACCCTCCAGGGAGATTTAAACCCTGAGTCCATTTTAACTCCTGGCTGGGCTGTGAGTGACCTGTGTGTATCCAGGCTCTGGGAGCTGTCTCCCAAGCTCAGCTTTAGGGAACTGAGCCCTGGAGATACAAATTTGCACAAATACAGTGGGCATAGTAAAAAAATAGAAATTCAGATTCTTCTCCTTCTTCCCTGGGTTTGGTTAACTTTACAAGACCAAATGGAGCAAAACAGAAACCAGCCACAAACCCAAAATGATGTTCCTAACTCTTTGCAACTTCAAAAAGCAGCAGAGCATCAAAATGTGGTAACTAAGATTTATTTAAATGATGTTTCCTGTAATAGTTTTTGTATGTTTGGAAACCAGGAGTAGGAATTTATTTGAAACAGAACTGGAAACTGGAGATTCTCTGGCTTTAGCTCCAGCATATTGAGTCATGTGGTCTCTGCCTCCTGCTCTTCATCAAACCCCTGCTGCTGCCTGAGCTGCTGCAGCCTCTGTGGCAAAAGGTCTGGCAAAGAATAATCCAGAAAACTTTGATCTCACACAGGTGTTGTGTTCAGATTCTGTAGGAGCAAGTTAATGAAAAGGGGAGAAAGGTTAGAGAAGGAAAGGAGCAGATTTCCAACCAGCAATGGGAAGAAGATGCTATTCCTGTATTTCATGTAACTCATATATTGAATTTCTGAATGCTAAGAGGACAAAGCTCTATTTTGTACAAATCTAAACTGCCTCCAAATCCAATTTGAGGAAAGAAAGGTGGGATCTGTTTTGGCTGGAGTGGAGCAGACACCAAATGTGCTTTTCATTATCTCCGTGCACGGACTGAACCGAGCAGCAGGAGCTGTTCTGTTCCCTGGGCAGCACATCCCTGCTCCATCAGGTACCCCTGGGCCAGGGCAGTGTCTGTGCTGAGCAGGAGCAGCAGCAGTGGCCGGGTCTCTCTCCGTTACCTGCAGTGGTGTTTCCGACTGGCGAGCCAGAAGGCGCTGTCGCAGCCGTAGCAGTGCGCGGCCAGGTGATCCGGGAGCCACCGCGTCACCTGTGGGGACGGCCACCGGCATCAGGGACAGGGCAGAGCAACACTCCTGAGCTGAGCCCCCTCCCCAGCTCCCAGAGGTTGTGCAGCAGAGGGCTCATAGGCACAGGTACTGGTATGTCAGGTG